TAGGCCGTAGTTTGCCCACTCCTGTTCTAAGCACTATACTGTAGCCCATATTCTGAAATAAATAATGATACCTCTCAATATAAAATAGTTACTTAAGTAAAGTACATTTCAGAAGTTCTGTTTTCATATTATAGATATATATTTTACACACTCACACACATGCAAAAAATAAAAATTCTTCAGTGACCCCAGTCATTCAATAGTTATGATAAAATCTACCATTTATGGCTAAGTTCAATATTATTGGGTGAAAAAAGATTTGTTTTATCTCCTCATCAAACACAAACACAAGAGAGAAATTAAAGACAACTTTGGACTTGAATGTATACAGGGTAGCAGTTGGTCTCCAGTACACCCTATATCTGGAGTGCAAAGGACAGCTTTAATGGTCCATGCCTTTTTTCATCTCTAACTCCTATGAGCTCTTCACACTTCTTTAGTCTTAAAAAATGTATGTAGGCTACAAGAGGATCTATGTGACTATGTCAAGATTCTTTTCCTTTCCCTTTTCAACACTGGGGATAAGTGCTCAAGTAGCCCAGGAGTTCACTTGTTTCTATTCTCTCCAAAGCAAAAATACATGATGAGCAAAGGAGGAGGGTGAGGAGACTCTCTCTATGCCTCCCCTTCCCCCGCCCCTAGCAGAATGCTTTGTGGAAGCTGTGGCAGAGAGTGGTTGGCCAATCCACTGGGACTTCAGCACAGCTGGAATTATGGGGCTACTACCCAAGGAAAATGAGCCCAGGCAAAGAGATGTCAATTTGGGAGGAGCAGGGAGAAAACTGCTATGCTATTTATTTTTCAGCTCTCTGAGCCTCAGACATAGGATGACAGAGATGCATGACTCTTCAAATACAGTACACTATACTGAGTACAGTACTCAACGATTCAATAGCTCAAGTACTTGTGCAATGGTGTGGAGTTCTTCTACCAGTGGGTTTCATATGCCCCTCTGAACTGAAATCCAGGAGATCGGACTAATTGATCATGATAAATATGTGGGTCCGCCATGGCTGCGTTGTCTGTAAAGGAACACAACTGTGGAAAACTCCCATTAAAAAGGAAGCCTAAACATTGGAATTGCATCAGTGAATGGATGAATTTTCTGTTAAGCGAATGAAAGAAAAAAAAGAGACTGGGAAAGAGAGTATCAATCTTCAGATGCAGGGGACTTTGTCTCTCTCAGCCCAAACCAGTGGATGGGGACAGCAGGTTTGTGAGGACATTGATAACCAGCCTTGACTAAAGCCCCAGAACTTTATTGTTATATTTTCCTGAGGTAATGGTTAGAAAGCCTTAGCTGTGGTAGCAGGCACACGCACCTACTTTTGATACAGACGGGGTGGGGGACAAAAAAGCTGCCAAGATAATGAAAAATGTCTGAGAAAGGGGGAAGAGGAGGAGATATTTAAAAATGCTTCATCTGTAACACTGCAAATGGTCACTGTTTCTTACACTCTGTTAGATGCGTCATTGATATATTTATCAAATGGTGCTTTTGTAAAAAGGTGAAAAGCCAATGAACACATAATCCAATCTAAAGTTCAGAAACTTTTAACTACTGTAAAAACTCTTGGGAGTTAGCCATCTAGATCAGGTGGCCTTTCCACTAGTGGGCTCATATGCCCATGTATTTAGGGCCCTAATCTTGTAAACTTCTATTCCTACCCATTGTTCCACTGGACCCTAAAATTGCCCTGCCTACCGGAATTATCCTATTAAACCTATTTAGGAGTGACTGTTACTAGTCCCTGGAATATTATCTTGCAAACCAATTTCATACAGCACCTAAAATGTTGCAAAAGAGTGTAACAGATACCTTTTTGGATTTAAATTTTCCTTTTTAACAGCTGAGAAAATGAGAATTTGACCAATAAAACTACAGTATTCACATAAAATAATACTGTCAGTACTATGAATTCAGCACCTAACAACAGTACCAGCACCACTAATAAGGTAAAAAGTTAATTAGGGTAATTACAGGCACAGGGATTTATAAATCACTGACCCTTACACAGAAGGATTAGATTCTGCAGGGGAATTAATGTTACATGTGGGTCACTGAAATCTTAGTGTAAGTAACTGGGAAGCAAATACATTTCCTTTGTTGAGCATCTCTTCTAGAATTCAAATATTTAATTAGGAATGTGACCTGATACACCTTGATTTACCAACTACACTAATCCCAGCTCACAAAAGAATTCAAAGTAAACAAAGATATGCATGGGCACTGAAATGAAATGGAAGAAATTACTATAATCTTGACATAGAAGTATCCATTTAGCTGAACTGAGGTCTGGCTTTCCTTTTGCAGCAATATTTTCGCACTCACAAATGTACTTTGGGCAAAAAGTAGAATAATCACACCTTTTAACTACGTGATTTATGCTTCCACTCAGGTTTAACTGTGGGCCCAAAAATGTGGGCCCAAATTTTGCAAGCATAACTGTGTCAGAAAAAGGAAAGTTCTTGTCTGAAAACTTACCCCTTAAAAGTTTTGCTACCTCTGTCCTCTCAAAACAATTATGTATATTGCTTCTCTTTCTGCCAACACCCTTTTTCCGTTGGTTTCTCTAATTTACACAGGAGAAGTGCTTATTTCAACTTCATAGCTTTACATGTTACCTCAGCAATTCTTGAGCGGCTGACACAGACTTTTCCTGAGACCTGTCCTGCCTACACAAAAAATGGGAGTTGAACACACAAGTTTGTTCAACAGTCCTAGACTGTTCAGCCAATCAGTGTTCAGCCATCTTAGCATGGGCAGGCTGAAGCCACGTTTCCTAGTAAAAGTTCTTTTTCTTTGACTGTTTTCACTCTCATTTTTCAGTTGTATCTGAGAAGACTCCGTCTGCATTGTTTCCATCTTTGGAGACTGAAGAAAAAGGGCCCTATCCTGCTGAAGTCACTAACAAAACTCACACTGATTTCAGGAGGTCAGGACCGGACCCAACGTCTACTCTCACAAAAGCCCCTCTTCATCTGAATGAAAAAGACTAATTCCTACTGCCCAGTAATATTATGATTCAAGTGTTATCTTTTTTAGATTAGTACTTAATGCTTGAGTTTCTGATTTAGATGTAACTTAACCACTGTGAAAGGTAGTTTTGTTTTTATTAAAAAGGTGTTGCAAGGTTTTACATCTATATGCACAACAGTTATAAATATATTGATACCACATTAAGAAAATAATCAGTGCCTTTCAGAAAGTGTTCCTGCCAGCCACTATCCTGTCAATCCTCAGTAGCCTCTGGATTTAAGTCACTGCAGTCATCTGGTGTATCCTATTATACCTAATCTACATTGAGTCCATCGGTCACTATAAGACACTCAGTGTTAGTCACAAGGGTTATCATCATGGGCTAATTTGATATTAGCAACATCCACTTAAAGACTAAAGTTAACCAAGGACAAAAGTCCTTCCCAACCTACCATGACATCGGTATCATTCAGCTAAAGACATCACTATGCTTTAGTTATAGATGTATATATAAAAAAACCAACACATTTTTCAGAATTTCAGATCAGTAAGACTAATCGCAAGTACTTTACTCCCACTGGGAAAATGCCATTTATCATTTCAACCCTTCCTATTTATTCCATCTGTTTCTAACTAGAAAGTTGGGCCCAAACCTGCTATCATTCAAGTCAACAGTGAAGTTTCCCACCGGCTTCACTAAAAACAGGAGCCCACATACTTAGAAACATTCATATTTCCACAGGGAATTAATTACTATCATTTTATACCATTCATTACACTAAATGAAATAGCCATTAGTCACTTAGACAGTTGCATCACAGGCCACTATTTACCAACATAAGCTAAACGGCTCAAAATTATTCTAATTGGCCATCAGTTAATCCATAAAAGTACAGTACACTATCAAGAGAGACTCACTTTTATGAACCAACTAGCTTATGATTGGTTAAAGCACAGATCAAGTCTAATCTCTGAGCCAGTCAAAATGCAGTTATGGTGCAGCGCACAGCTGCCACTTAAATATTAAAAGAATTAGTTGGGGCCCTCCAATGACTTATTTATTAATCATTTAGTGGAAGAAAATAAAGGTCACTGGAGAATGACAAGGCAGAATAACATTCTCCTGATATGGAAATAAATGTCTCATGTCAGCAGGACACTGTTGTCCTGTCAGCATTCCATTCAGTTGATACCATTTTCGAAGTATACCACCAAGGTAAAACTCGTGGGGCTGTGGTGAGCTTTTTATTAAAAGCACCATAAGGGTTTTCCTAGATTGGTGCAACGTTTTGTACTAAACATCAAAGATACTACATCAGAGATAACATTTCTGTCTAGTTTCAAACACAGGGGAGACCACATGCATCACTGGAGCAGTGTCACTCTGATGATGCATCACACTGACATGGCACTAGCCAGCATGCTGTAGAAGTATCAATACAGAAAATTTTTAGATCTTAATGAATAAAGAGAATTTATGCAGGGGAGGTTCTTTCCCTTAAGAGCCTTTAAGGTCATTCAGAATCATTTGAATCCCCTTCTTCAGAAACCTGAAGTGTGGGTAGATTGAACTTTTCAAGTTTTAGGGTCATTAGATCTCATGCTTAAATGACCTGTAGAAGGCAAAATGCACCACTAGACAGAATTTGTAATACTCTATTCAAAAGCTTTCTTATTTTTTTTGCCAACAAACACTTTAGACCAAATCCTGATCTCAAATAAAAAAACACATGGTCATCTAAAAGGCAGATTTTGGCTGTCCCCTGTTTTATATGACTGCCTTTTGCCTCCAGATCTTCAGTTAACTTTGGAAGTAGAATTGTTCTGCGAGTGGAGCAGGTGACAGCATTTTTGTGTAGAGTAAGGCTATCAGCATGCTCTTTGGTGTCATATGTACTGAGGTGCACACAGCTTCAAACGTCACTCAGAGAGACTTAGTTACCTTGTTGTTAAAGAAAAAGCAGCACTCTGCTTCTTAATCTGTGCACACACACACATATTGCAGGCATAAAACAGATACCTCGGTATCTAAGGAGCAGAAAGAAGACAGGGTAATCTGTCTGGCTAGCGTCAATGCTTCTATCCTCATTGCAGCAAACTCTAACTCCTCCTGTCAGATGGTTTTAAGCAATCCACAGAAAAAAAATGAATTAAGAACATGATGTAAATGTTTTACACACACAGAGAATGAATGCTGTATTTTAATGTATCATGATAACAATTTTTGGATAACACACATTCAGTGTTCCTTTCATGATTAAAACATCAGCAGAACACAAAAACAAGTTTTTAGGTAGTTTTGAGATAGCTATATATAGAAACTCTTTCACTAGGGACTAAGTGTTAACAACTTTTTGGGTGGGATAAATGTTTTCCAATTATGTTGCCCAATAAGACAAAATTATTTCTTTGTCATGTTAACTGATTTTCCCTTTCATTTATTCACTGTATTTATGATTGCTGACATTTTTTATTCAACATTACTCAGCAGTGTTGAAATGTAAATCTGCCATCATACATGTAAACCTACTTTCCAGAGAGATTTCCTTTTGTTAGAGGAAGCCAAGTCAATTACAGGTTAAACACAATCACAAAAACAACACCTGACTCTCATTTTACCTGGTTTTAGCACCAATGTAACTCCACTGATATTACTGGGGTTACTCTGAATTTAGCCTGGTGTACCTGAGAGCAGAATTAGGCCCTACATCTCTGAAACTGTCTCTGCGTTTACTAGCTCACCAAAGTAAAGTGTATTCAGTCAAGTTAATTCTCCACATTTAAGATTGAACACAGGGCTCAGAATAAGAGTTTTATTTGATAATATGTTGTACTACAACAAAGTTAGTGAGATTATCTAATTGAGACTGTTCAGCAGTGTTAGAACACAAGAGTTAAAGAAACTAACTTATTTGTTCTGAGAGTTAAGTCCAAATCTCACTATCTCTTAAAAGTTTCTGAAAGGCAAAAGGAATTTTGAAGAGGGCTGAATTTTTCTTTAACTTTTTTTTTTTTTTAAGATAGTGAAATGTGTTCTCTACTGGTGTTTAGACAAACTTAAGAAAGGAACACTGGTATTTACGTTTCTGCTACAAACCTGAAGTTTCTGAGCAAATACGGGGGGGTTCTTTTCTGCTAAGTCAGGTTCTAGATATTCAAGCTGATCACATATTGATGTTTGATGCGATATCCTATTGAGAAGAGCATCAGCAGAGACAAAGGAGTCCTCAGGAGTTGTCTGAAGGGTAAGGAGGATACAGAACAAATAACAGAGGCTGCCAAAGTGGCTCAGGCTGAAAACCGTATATTTGCTTCAAACGTTTGTTTGCTGCCTTCAGTAACATTTTCTTTCTGGCACACATGCATAGCTAATCGGAAATAAATATAATGGAAGTTGGTTATAAATTAAAAATTTGAGAGTGAAATAAATGATGGTTAAAGCCTCTAAAGCAATGGTTCTCAAACTGTAGTCCATGGACCACTTTTAGGTACTTCTATGACAATTGTCAGTCAGTCTTCTGTCAGCCAGTTGCCATGTTGTGTTTGTCTTAAAGCAGGGGTCGGCAACCTTTCAAAAGTGGTGTGCCGAGTCTTCATTTATTCACTCTAATTTAAGATTTCGCGTGCCAGTAATACATTTTAAATGTTTTTAGAAGGTCTCTTTCTATAAGTCTATAATATATAACTAAACTATTGTTGTATGTAAAGTAAATAAGGTTTTTAAAATGTTTAAGAAGCTTCATTTAAAATTAAATTAAAATGCAGAGCCCCCCGGACCGGTGGCCAGGACCTGGGCAGTGTGAGTGCCACTGAAAATCAGCTCGCGTGCCGCCTTCGGCATGTGTGCCATAGGTTGCCTACTCCTGTCTTAAAGCAATGAAACTTCCTGTAAATTGTAGCTCAGTCCAGGGTTCTCATAGGAGTTTCAGAGGTTTCTTTGACCAATTCAACTAAAATGATCCCCAAACAACGTTTTGCACTCACTACAATGTGTCTTTTTGTTCCTTTGGGGTTAACTCAAATTTGCAGGTGCTATCAAGGTTAGAGAGGTCTCAAACACACAGGAGGTCAGAATCACAGTGTTCACCTGTTGAGATTAGAGCAATGGAAGCTCCACTCAATGAGCAGAGTCTTCAGGCTAATAAATGTGAAATCCTCTGCTCAAGGACAGGATCTCAAAAGCACAGATACACAATGTACAGAGATGTAACTAAGCAGCCATGCCTGCTGCATTTATAAAGTAGGTGTATTTTAACATTGTCTCCTTAATACTGTCGTTCTTCCTTATGTGACCAAGTGCTGCGAGGCCGGTTGTTAAATTGGGGTTTGCTTGGGAAAGCTGGGGGTCCTTCAGAGAATCTATCCACAATATTCAAAATTTTGAGAACCAGTGCTCTAAAGTCTAGAAGCAGCTATGGCCTTGGAAGTAAGACTCAAAGTCTTTACACTGAGTCCACTGGGAACTGGACTGAGTTCAAAAGTGCAGATTTCTAACAAAGTCTCTCACTTCCAGTACTGCATAACATCAAAACAGTTGGCAATTTATCAGAAAATGAGAAATATCTGTTCATCATCTATTAATGCTAAAACTCATAATAACAGATATGCTACATTCACAAAGCAATTCTGCATATTTTCATACAAAATCCCAGAGAAAACACTGGCACAGCCTATATATCTACGTGTCTTATACATTACTTACTATTTCAATGGTGTCTGAAGCTGTTCCTAAACTCATGGGCTCCAGTTCTTTCTGTTTTGATTTGTCAGTCAACTGTAAGTGCAGATCTTGGCTGGCGGTTAGAACCCGGGAACCTGGGTGTTGTATTTTCATTCCAGAGGATAGCTGGGCTTCACTTTCCTCGAAACTTGACCTGGGATCAGATAGATAGTGTATATGTTTTCAGATTAGGCTAGGAGCCCAGTCTCTACTAAAAACACAGCAAATCCTCTTCAGTTAAACTGTCACATTCTCATCTTCACAAGAGCTTGATAAATTAGGATAACTGACATAAGGTTGAATTATAGCAATATATCTTGCAAGATTTTGAGGAATGTTTTCAAAGTAGTACCCTGGATAAACCCTGTACTACTGGATTAGATCAGTGAGAAAATGTACAGCCTACACATCACTTTGCCCTTATTTCTCACTTCTACATAAATCTCTATCAAATGACAATTTTTGTTCTGTAGCAGCAGTGTAATCCCCCTGGGACAATGCCATTTCTAAAAATAAACAAAAACCCTTAAGATATATCATTTAAAAATGGATTAATTGTTCAGAAAAACAAGTTTAGGAATGCCAAATGAAGAGTTACAATAATAGGGACATACTGTATATACTGAAATGAAACTGCCCTTAATATTGAAGAAAAAACTGTAAGTAGTGAACCATAATCTACACTGAAGACACAGCATAGTCTTTACTGCAGACTTTAAAGTAATCATCAAGACTATGCAACAGAAATATAAGTCCTGATTCTCCACTCCATTACTCCACTGACTGGTGTAACAAGGGACAGTTGGACTCAGTGTTCCCTCAAATTTTTTATATCCATGTGTGGAATGAATTTTGTTATGTGCACCAATATGGAGGTGATGTGTGGCAGGGGTGGGGCCGAGGGGTTTGGAGTATTGGAGGGGGCTCAGGGATGGAGAAGGGGGTTGGGGTGTGGGGGTGGTGAGGGCTCCAGCTGGGGGTGTGGGCTCTGGGGTGGGGCCGGGGATCAGGAGTTTGGGGTGCAGGCTGCCCAAGGGCTGGGGCGGAGGACTCCCCTCAGCCCTCTCTCCGCCGGCAGCAGCTCCAGGGCAGAGGCCCTACTACCCGCCAGCAGCAGCTCCGAGGCAGAGGCGCTTCTTCCGGCTGGCAGCAGCTCTGGGGAGAGGTGCCTCTCCCCGCTAGCAGAAGCTCCGGGGCCAGGGGAGAGGCCTGTGGCAGCCCTGCGCACCCCAACTTGCTCCCCTTCCCACCCACTCCCCACCTCTCTCCTCTCCAGGCCCTTGTGGCTGTGCGCCTGCGCAGAACTTTATAGCCTGCTGCGTGGCCGCGGAGCTTAGGGGAAATTTAGGTGGGACTCCATACATTTAATAGATATAGATCTGTGTTTTAAAAGAAAACAGAGAAAAACTAAAGCACACAACAAAAGCACTGTCTGACTGGAAATAATTTTACTGTTATCCTTTTCCTAACAGTCCTTTTATTATTAAATGATTTTTGTTTGTTGTTTGGTGGTGGTGGTGGTGGGGGGGGGGTGTTGTTTTTTGCAGTGATGTACCCTGAACATGGAGTTGTAGAATCAGATAGTCTGACTGGAGGAGATTTGACTGGACTTTCCTGCTGTGCATCAAATACAAGGTACAAAGATTGTTTCTTCGGGGTGCTGCCATCCTGCTGTCAAAAGAAAAGGAAATAATTATCAACCAACTTTCCATTCTCCGTTAAGGTTAATTCATTGCCTCAAGTGACCCAGTGACTGAGAAATTCCATTTCTCTTTTAGAGCTGATAACCTATGTTCTGCAGCATAGCACTCCCTATGGTGCTAAGACATAGTGGATGTAATAAAAGCCACTGACCACAGCACAGACTGTGCAGTTCACAATTTGTATTAGTTCCTCCACTGTCATTTGGGATTAATTAGAATTCAGGTACTATCTAAGTTCTGCACCTGTTCTTTTTGAATGGATTATATGGCATTCGCTGACAAAGTGTTATCAAAAATTTAATTGGAACCTTCTTTATCTCATCAGATTGAACACTCAAGAGTCTCCACATTAACAGACTGTTTCATTCTTATAAGCACTGTGGGAAATTCAGACATCTGAAGCTTATTAATACTATCTAATTAATCAAGTGAATACAAGTTAGGCAAAAAATGTTGATGTTATAACTTTATTCCCATATTTTAGAGTAAGTCTTTATTTTGAAGAGAGTGCTCATCATTTCTTTTCATAAAAGTTTTAGCCATGGTTTTGGAGAGAAAGATTTCCATACACTGTTTGGTAACCCAACGTATAGTGCTCTGCACCTGCTATGGCTTAAAGTATTGAATACCTTTACATCTCCAAGAAGTGAAACTAAACCTCAACATTAAAAAGATTAAATAACTTCTATAAGGATAGGAACAATAAAGCATGTGCAATTTACCTGACTACGCTGACTAGAAAGAACCGTGTTTACAATCTACTGCAGATGTACACTAATTCACTGTGTAGCAGGGAACTATCCATACAGTATTATCATAGCAATACATAATGACTATCGCGTGTAAATAAATGTAAATGAAAATTTGAGACTGAAAACTTACCGGCAAGGAGGAGCCTATTTTCTCCATGTATTCTATTTCATATGAGTTGCCATATTCCAGGTCTGTAACAGAAACAAAGAGAAATGTTCCCATGCATGGGGGGGAAATATAATTTTTGCATGTGTGAATAAAATCTTGGCAACTCGTTGCTAATTGTCACTCAGGGTCTGCTGCTTTACTATTGATGCTTTTTCTAATAGGCCCTACAAACAAAATACACAGAGACAACTGTGCCTTGATTTTGAGCTGTCAATCAACTGAAGCCCCATGGCGTATCCAAAGGCAGAATTTGGTGCAAGTCCTTTTGAATCAATTTTCCCGTAAAACTCCAGGTTAATCTTTGTTCAGGATTCCATTACAGACCTCAGTGGCTTTAGTAAAATTGCAGAACCCTGTGAAACATGCCAGTACATGGTATCTGAAGTGCCATGTCACATTACAACTCTTTGAAAATATTTTGATGTAGTCTTGATAGCTATTTCTTCCTTTGAAAGAAGGAAGATTTTGCAAGATGACAAGTAATCAAATGATTCCACTCATAGTAAAACCATGCCGATTTTAATCAGGAACTATTATGATCTTATTACTTGAGATTAAAAAATGGATAAGCTATCCATATGCTCATCTGGTGACAGATAGCACAGTAGCATAGATACACTTATTTTCAAATTTTAGTTACAAGGGACAGTTCAAGGCATGAGTATTTACAGAGAAGCCCGGCCCTAACCTCTAAAAAACCTTTTGTTGCACTACTATTTCAAATCCCTTAATTATTCAATGAGAATTAACAAGCACTTCTTGCAAATCCTGGTCACTCGACAGTGAGCTGATATAGACACATACACAGGCAAAGAAACTGCTGACAGAACAGAAGATAAATGCAACAAATACAGGGTATTGGGACTGATCATGCAAATAAATAGAGTCCTTACATGAGTAGTCTCATTAAAGGCAATAGGACAAAGGGATAGGTACAACAGATGTATCTCAGATTTTGCATCTAAATCCAGTCACCATTGATGTTCAGAGAAACATTCTAACACAATGGTGAGTTTGTTTCCTGAAGATACAAATTAAGGATTTCTGTTAAATAATATTCTTGTCTCAAAATTGTTTATTTTTATTCAGTTCTGTATTTTGTTATGTTCCACACAATAAGTCGGTTTTCTTCCTAATTCAGGAAATCACGGAATCAAATGCTTAATTCCATTTCTGTATAGTAAACAACAAGTGTCTTGGATTTAAGCATGTGCTTAAATACACTTCCTGAACTGGGATGACATCCTGAATAAGAGCCTATGTCAGGTAAGTATTTTTAAAATAAATTAGGCTGTTTTCCCCCAAGACTAGTGTAAATGTCTTAATTGTTTTGAAAAGTGAAACTCTCACTATGAAAACAATATTAGAGGGTATTTGTGCAGAAATTCAGATGGGAAAAATGCCCACAAATATTGTGAACTTCTCCTCTAGTTAAAAGTCTCTCTGGGTGTAAATAGCATGTTTTTGAAAATCCATGCATTTCACAGGCCATCCATTTAAGAAAAACAGCTGCAAAATAGCAATAGGTGAAGTTTAGGATATTGTATCCATTAATTTTTTGCTGAAGGGAATCATGCTATAGCAGGTTTAGTCAGAGGCGTAGCGAGCGCCCTCCGTACCCTCCAACCGGAGGGGGCCCCGCAAGGAAGGGGGCCCCTAAAAGTGGCAAAATAAATACCGCATTCCAGTTTCTGCATTGTAAGGGGCCCCGCCCGGACATATGTTCGGAGGGGGCCACCGTTTGGAGGGGGCCACGTTCTTTGTTGCTACGGCCCTGGGTTTAGTAAATTCAGACGCTTGGCATCCCATGGTCTATTTTTAATGGTAACAGGAATTCAAACGGGAGGAAAAGCCTACCATATGAACTACATGCTTCTTTCTAGCTAGAGCAAAAAAACAAACAACACACAAATAATGACATTAAGAGTAAAATGAAAAAAAATAGAACCCGAGGAAGAAGTTCAGGAGGAACTATTAACTGCAAGGCAAAACAACATCAAATGCTTTGAAATGCCTTTCTCCATTTGTTATAACTTTGTATATTACAGTAAAGTCTTACAAACTGGTTCTTAAACACTGGGAAACAATCTGTTACAATATATACAAATGCTCTTTACAGCCAGGAGACATACTGTCAGTGTCCTCTGCTGGCACTGATAATAACAACTCTACATCTGTTTAATCCCCACTCTTGCAGCTGTAATCCATAGCGTTTGATTTTTAGATTGATAGATATTTAACCCTATTTGACACAAAAGACAGTTTGTGGATTGAGGTACATCAACTAGAAACAAAACAAATAACGTGGTTCATTAAAGATTATTCTTTTGTATCACTGCTCTCAGTGGTTTCAAACACATAATTATTGTGGATGGCAAAATGGAGGGCAACTCCAGTGTATTAACAAAGTGCCAAAGTGATATGAATGAGTCTGAGTACTATGTATTGTTTGACTGCAGAGATCCATCCATCCATCCATGATAGCTCAGTGCTAAACCCAGGGTTGTGAGTTCAATCCTTGAGGGGGCCACTTAAGGATCTGGGGTAGGGTGACCAGACAGCAAGTGTGAAAAATCGGTACAGGGGGTGTGCGGTAATAGGAGCCTATATAAGAAAAAGACCCCAAAATCGGGACTGTCCCTATAAAATTGGGACATCTGGTCACCCTAATCTGGGGCAAAATCAGTACTTGGTCCTACTTAGAGAAGGCAGGGGGCTGGACTCAATGACCTTTCAGGGTCCCTTCCAGCTCTATGAGATAGATAGGTATAGATATATCTCCAGATGTTTAAAGGTAGCTCTTGGTTACAGGAGGACAGTCACAACAGTATCAAGAGTGGTATAAACTGCTGTATTAAGAAACATCTCTTGAATTACTTAGATTTCTCAAAGCAGCATGAACAGAACAGTCAATGGAAATCATGATTATTTTAAATGATCTCAAAAGAGGAAGCATTGTTGATTATAATTAACATGTAATCTGAAAGTCTGGACATACCACCCAGCATACTTCCAAAGCATTTAATTAGGAATTCTGTTCACTTTCTGTTACCAGTCTGAGAGCTGAAATGATGGTTTTAGTGCATCCATACATTATGTTGTTTGTTCAAAAAATCATTTTTTCTTTAAGGAGGAAACATTAACATCACACAATGCAGTCATAAATAGATGCATTTAGTTATAATTTAACAACAAAAATGAATGGATTATTCAGATTGAACCATCTGAACAGGATATCCAACAGATCCCATGAAAGCCCCGGATCCTGCATACACTTATGCATGTGCATTTGAGTGTTCACATGAGCAGTCCCATTAAAGTGAGCAGAATTACTCACATGCATCAGGTTAAACTCGTAGATAAACTGTTTGCAGGATTGGGCCTAAGAGCCTAAATCCTGCAGTCTATAATCATGCAAAACTCCACAGATTTTGCCTTAAATTGTTCAATGATATTTTAACAGTACATTGGGCATGTGGGCAGAAAAGATCAGGTAATGATAATGGAAATAGAGCCAACAAGATCAAAAAGGATCGTAAGATTTTGAAGTAGTAAGTCCCCCAACCATAAACTTGAAGTTGGAAATTGGTTAGTATTTATTTATACATTCATTTATCAGATGTACCCTTAGGGTAAAACCTGCAAAGACTTACTCCTTCATGTAGTCTGAGGGAAGGCATGACTACACATGCAAGTGAGAAATACTTAAGTGGGCTAGGTTCTGATACTTTCACAGTTCATTAATAATAATATAAAATAACCTAACAATCTTGCAATTATTTGCCTCATAAAAAAAGACAGACATCCTTCAGGACATGGAAATGGGGATGAATACTGTGCCTGTGAAAGATAACGGTCATACATCACTTGATATTGTGGGGTTTTATATTTTTCTTATGCTTGAAGAAAGCTGGAGCCTAAGAGTTAGGAGAGGTGATATGTAGTCAACAGACTGATGACCAGATCCGAAGCTGGGACCTTCAGTACTGAAGCACAAATCTCCATCCCCTGAGTTAAAGTACTAGAGGCCCAGCAAAACCAAAGGAAAGCCTTCCACTGATTTCAGTAGCCTTTGGATTGGGTCCTAAATCCATTAGCTGGGAGGAACAGCAGACCACCGTCCCCTCTGATTTAGGCACAGCAGGGAACACGTCACATGCTCTGAACAGTAGATTATACTTACAATTAAGTGTACTGAAAAAGAAAAATTTAGTCATATATTGCTCTGAAGTGCTGCCCCTGTCCTCTCTGCAGCTGAAAATAAGAGTGTTTCCAGTCTCTTTCAGTTTCCTCTCTTTGTCTTTTCCTTGATAAAGAAAACATTGACTGGAGCTGAATGGTCATTTATAAGCTTACCCTCTGTAGGGGAGCTGAACTTGGTCTCATTTACAAATGTAGATAGATCGGATGGTTGTGGGTAATCCTGTTTATCTGTATCCAGATCCACAGTCATGCAAGTCCATTTCTGACTGGTTACGGAAGAAGCCAGTTTTTCCTCATCTGTCGCATGAACCACGGTGGATATAACTGGGGGTGTTTCTGGAGTAGGCAGTGGAGTGGAATCCTGCACAGAACAAATGTTAACTGAATCTATTATCTTTCATTACTTTGTTGAGCCATCAGTTAGAAATATTTGTCTGAATTCTTTTGTCTATCTTTCTCCCCACCCCCCTTTTGCTGTTTTAATTCCATGCTACTTACTACAGCTCCATATAAAATACTTGAGGAAAGAGACCCAGCTCATATCTGTAGTATTTGGAATTACACCAGGAATAACTTGTCTCAATAATTAGACTCTCTTTATCCGTACAATGAAACCCTTTTATAATGAACACGGATACAGTAACTCCTCGCTTAACTTTGTAGTTATGTTCCTGAAAAATGCGACTTTAAGCGAAACAACATTAAGCGAATCCAACTTCCCCATAAGAATTAATGTAAATAGAGGGGGGTTAGGCTCCAGGGAAATTTTTTTCACCAGACAAAAAACTATATATTATATAGATATACACACAGTATACATTTTAAACAAACAATGTAATACTGTTCACAGCTATGATGATTGTGAAGCTTGGTTGAGGTGGTGAAGTTAGAGGCTGGAAGAGGGAGGGATATTTCCCAGGGAATGCCTTGCTGCTAAATGATGAACTAGCACTCGGCTGAGCCCTCAAAGGTTAACACCTTGTTAATGTAGCCTCTCACACAAGGCAGCCCGAACACGAGGGAGGGGAGATAGCATAGCAGACAGAGACAGACACACACCTTGTGTGTGGGGGAGAGAGAGAGAGATGCACACTGCCCCTTTAAGTAAGCTGACCCACTCTTAAGTGCATTGTCTTTTTAAGTGGATCAGGAAGTTGAGACAGCAGCTGCTGCCCCAAGCTCTCTCTGTCTCTCTCGGTGTCCCCTCCCTGCTCTATATGGAGAAGGAGTAAGTGGGGTGCAGGAGCAGGGGGTAGGGAGACACCCTGACATTAGCCCCTCCGCCCCTTTCCCTCCCTGCACAGCAAGCAGGAGTCTCTGGGAGCAGCTCCAAGGCAGAGGGCAGGAGCAGCACATGGCAGTGGGGGGAGGGACAGCTGAATTGCCGATTGATAGCCTGCAATTGATAGCCTGCTGGGCAGCTGCAGCACAGGGAATTTAGGGGAGCGGGGAGATGATGGGGGGCTGCTGGTCCACCCCGGTTACAAGCCCCCACCAGCTAGCTGCAATGGGCTGCTCTTCCTGCAAGCAGTGGACAAAGCAGGCGGCTGCCAAACGACGTTAGAAGGGAGCATTGCACAACTTTAAATGAGCATGTTCCCTAATTGATCAGCAATGTAACAACGAAATAACGTTAACCAGGACAACTTTAAGTGAGGAGTTACTGTACTGCAAAGCTGTGTTGATGAGGTAGAATGAAAATCCTGACTTAAGTGTACTGAAATGGGCCAACTGCAATTCAGTTGAGGTGGGGAGGGAATTGGGGGGAAAGACTTCAGCATACAAGGGATCCACAGATTTTCTTTGCTGTCTTTACTGAACTTTTTTTTCATGCTATCTTTTCCATGGCATCATTTACGGTGTATGTGTAAGTTTCTAGATTCTGTTGATGCAAGTAAAAAAGATGAGGTTATTTGGAGTTGATGGTCATGCATATGAGCTCAGAGATTTTCAGGAGTTAAGACAGAAATATCTGCGGTTGGAGATCAGTACATGACGTAAGTGGCACACAAAATGCATAGTCTCCTAGGAATTCAAGTGTGATGGCCAGGGCAATTGACTTTTAGGGATTGTCTGTATGGTGAGTTAGTGCACGGGAAGCCAGGGCTGTCTACAGTGCACTAGCTTGCTGCTGGACAAAGCTTCCATACTAAATGTTTTGTAATGTGCTTTGAAGTACTGCTGTTTGAAACACTACACTCACCATGTAGATTAGCCCTGACACTTCCCTTATGGTAATGATCTCACATAACACAAACATGGACCTCAAAGGTCATGAATCCTCCCCCTGTCTCGATAATGTCAGCCAGCTTAAAGGGAAGGTTAGGATACAGAACGTGGGGGGTAGACAATGGCATGAAAAGAAATGTCCCAGATTAAAGTAGTGAGCCAAAGGCTATTATCTCATACATGGCACAGCCTTTGTTAACTCCTCCGCGCAAGAAAAGCCACCCACCAGTGTTTTAAGATGAAAAATATTATTTCTGTTCACATACTCTACAGAGTAACACGCTTGCATTATTTATACTTTTCTTTCAGCATATCATTTTTATTTGTGTACTTTACAGTTTTCTGGTCTAATAGGTTAGATGAATTCTTCTGAGTGCTAATATCCTAAATATATTTGTTCATTACTATACTTATAAGATAGGACTTCCCAAAGAGTATTTCTGAACAGTCCAACTGGAATTCCTAGGACAAATACCCGGTCTAACTGGCATTGTACAAATTAATCTTAAAACGGGAGAAAAAAAATTAATAAACCTTACCAATGCTTACAACTATTCAAATATAACAATGTTACATCAATTTACTTTCCTTCTACAAGCAAAACTAATGACCTATGTCAAAACAACATAGCACTTTACCTGAGAGGGCGCATCCGAGAGGGGAGATCTTTTTGGTGACTTTTTCACCCTAAATGTATCACTAAAAACAAAGTTAAAACAGTAAATATGGCATACAAAAGAGAATCAGCAGCATATAACATTTAGCAATACAGAGCTAAAGAAAATACTACCTCCTCTATAAGCCCTCCTGCTTTAAGACATCTTCCATTACAAAGCAATACCACTGAAAAACATGCTTTAAGTATTGCTTTTTATCATGCACTTTGGTACAGGACTTCGTTCCCTAAACCAGTAAGATAAACTAAGTAAGGGAGTTGAACAGCAGGATTGCCATGTGTCTAAATTCATTCAAAAAGACTATTCAAGTCAAATATTGATAGGGAATGAGGATTACCCAGTGGTTAGGGCACTAGGATAGCACTTGGGAGACCCTGGTTCAAAAATCCCCAGCCCCATCACAGACTTTCCTCTGTGACCTTGAGGATGTCACCTAGCCTCTTTGTGTCTCAGCTGTAAAACGAGGATAATAGTACTTTCCTATCTCACAGGGTTATTGTGAGAATAAATACATTGAAGATTGGGGGTTCAAATACTACGGTAGAAGGGGCCGTATATGCACATAAGACAGATAAGAGATTAATTTCCTTGCCACATGTCAACAGGTTTTTGATGAACTGCATATGAAGGTTTGTGGCAGGATATGCACATTGCTCCTAATTTCAGGACCAGATAATCGCATTAAGTTCACAGGGATGGGAAAGGAAATCCCACAAACTTGGACTTTCATGGTAAAGATGAATATATTTACTCACATGGCAATACTGCTTCAGGCTCTTCTAAATCCCAGAACATAAACTGCCAATACAACAGTTTTAACTAGGGTTGTTGATTAATCGCAGATAACTCACACGATTAACTCAAAAAAATTAATCACGATTAAAAAAATTAATCGCAATTAATTGCAGTTTTAATTGCACTGTTGAACAATAGAATACCAATTGAAATTTATTAAATATTTTGGATGTTTTTCTACATTTTCAAATATATTGATTTAAATTACAACACAGAATACAAAGTGTACAGTGCTCACTTTATATTACTTTTGATTACAAATATTTCCATTGTAAAAATGATAAACAAAAGAAATAGTATTTTTCAATTCACCTCATACAAGTACTGTAGTGCAATGTCTTTGTTGTGAAAGTGCAACTTACAAATGTAGTTTTTTTCGTTACAGAACTTCACTCAAAAACAAAACAATGTAAATCTTTAGAGCCTACAAGTCCACTCAGTCCTACTTCTTGTTCAGCCAATCGCTAAGAAAAACAAGTTTGTTTACATTTACGGGAGATTATGCTGCCTGTTTCTTATTTACATTGAAAGTGAGAACAGGCGTTAGCATGGCATTTTTGTAGCCAGCATTGCAAGGTATTTACGTGTCAGATATGCTAAACATTCATATGCCTCATCATGCTTCGACCACCATTCCAGAGGACATGCTTCCATGCTGACAATACTTGTTTAAAAAAATGCATTAATTATATTTGTAACTAAACTCCTTGGAGGAGAACTGTATGTCTCCTGCTCCATGGTTTTACCCGCATTGTGCCATATATTTTGTGTTATAGTAATCTAGGATGATGACCCAGCATATGTTGTTTGATTTAAGAACACTTTCACTGCAGATTTGACAAAACACAAAGAAGGTTTCAATATTAGATTTCTAAAGATAGCTACAGCACCAAGGTTTAAGAATCTGAAATGCCTTCCAAAATCTGAGAGGGATGAGGTGTGGAGCATGCTTTCAAAAGTCTTAAAAGAGCAACTTTCTGATGCAGAAACTACAGAACCCGAACCACCAAAAAAGAAAACCAACCTTCTGTTGGTGGCATCTGACTCAGATTAAGAAAATGAACGTGTGGGTCTGCACTGCTTTGGATCGTTATCAAGCAGAATCCGTCATCAGCATGGACATGTCCTTTGAAATGTTGGTTGAAGCATGAAGGGACATAAAAATCTTTAGCATATCTAGCACTTAAATATCTTGCGACGCCAGCTACAACAGTGCCATGACAACACTTTCAGGTAACATTGTAAACAAGAAGCAGGCAGCATTATCTCTTGCAAATGTAAACAAACTTGTTTGTCTGAGCAATTGGCTGAACAAAAAGTAGGAATGAGTGGATCTTAGGCTCTAAAGTTTTACATTGTTTTATTTTTTAATGCAACTATTTTTTGTACATAATTCTACATTTGTAAGATCAACTTTCATGATAAAAAGATTGCACTACAGTATTTGTATTAGGTGAATTGAAAAAATACTATTTTTTTTGTTTTTTACAGTGCAAATATTTGTAATAAAAAATAAATATAAAGTGAGCACTGTACACTTTGTATTCTGTGTTGTAACTGAAATCAATATATTTGAAAAATGTAGAAAACATCCAAAAATATTTAAATAAATGGCATTCTATTATTGTTTAACAGCGCGATTAATCATGCGATTAATCGCGATTAATTTTTTTAATCGCTTGACAGCCCTAATTTTAACCCTTCAAAGCATGGTGTTTTCCAGTCAAAGACGTGGAAAGGAGAATACCCACACATGATCATGTACACATCTACCCTGATATAACGCTATCCTCGGGAGCCAAAAAATCTTACCGCTTTATAGGTGAAACCACGTTATATTGAACTTGCTTTGATCCGCCGGAGCGCGCAGC